GAATAGAGGTGCTACATTTACTCTGTTGTTGTAATGAGTAGAATTCTACTTGGATGAGTTCTAATAGGGGACTTGAGTACATTTGTAAACACAAAAATCAACATTTACTTTATTAATTTTGCTATTTTTATTCTTTGGCTGAATCCCAAATGCTGTTCTACTGCAACGTTACTGGTTAGAGCCAAGACACAAGTATGTAAACTCAGTATACGCTTTACTGGGATGAATACATGAATCATAATCAAGAGTCTATATACAAAATACAGGCAGGTAGAGTGAAATAGGGATATTTCATAATCAATATCAAAAACAGGCAAAGGTCCAAACCAGGAATGAAACAGAACTCGGAGGAAAACCTCCAAATTAAAGTAACTAACTGCACAATAAAATTTTGCAATGCTACAAAGAAACAGCAGGATGAACACAGACAAACTAATCAAGCACTAACACGGAACAGGTGCACACAATCAGATAACAAACCAGTGGCAGGACAGAGGAGGAGACAGGACTAGAACAGAAACCAAAACAAAAAACAAGCACATGGCATTCATCGCCATGGGAACCAATGGGGAAACTGTGACGACTACGTTATACCCTATGTAGTGAGCATATAGACACTTAGGGAGAATAATCGGTTCCAAGTAGAACCTCATTAGAGAGCTAAGAACCCTTAACTATCAAGAGGATCCCTTTGCCCTGATTGTGTGTTTAAGATGTTTTATCTGTAAGGAATAAAACACTGTGTGTCATGTTGTTATAGGAAAATAATCAAGAAAGGGGTGGGGTAATGAATCGGAGTTACTGTTACCCTCCTGAAATTGATTATCTTCCCTTAATGACATAACTTTTATCCATTTAAAGTTACATTTCATGTTGAAATGTAAACCTTCTGTATGTGTGACACACGTTAATACATGATAGTTCATTATTTATTTATTTTTTTAATAGCTTTGACATCATCATCACTGCTTGTTCCGTCCCATGTAAGGAGTATTTGTGGATTTTTTTTAATAACCAAATACTTTCTTACTTAGCCTAATCATATAACAATGACTATGTTTATATTCATAAACGTAAGATTTTTGGCTTCTAGGTGTCTAGCAGTAATATTTAATAGGCAATAGAGCGTGTACAAACTATTACAGATGTACAAACTTCAGGAATTACATTTTTACATCATTACATATGTTCAGTATAAACACACCAAAATCTGTACAATAAAGACTTAGTCATGTCCGCCATTTTGTATGAGGTACTAACCCTCACAGTCGTAAGTATGATGTATGTATGTATGTATGTATGATCATATGTATAGGTGACCTTTGACCTGACCCGGAGGAGGCTCGGGTGCGTTTTTGATCTGGAGGAGGACACTGATCGAGACGCAGAGCGATCCATCGATTCTCATCACGAGCCGAGGAAGAGCCGAGCGCCTGATTACGACTGATGGAGCCACATCAGGAAGGCCTGAGGGTGAGTGTGCGTGTGGAGTGTGTGTAGTGTGTGTAGTGTGTGTGTGTGATGTGTAGTATGGGGACCCCCTGCAGCTTTGAAGCAAACGAGATGAATATCGGATCATGTTTACATTTTAATTTGGTGCCCGATGGAAAGAAGATTGGCTACAAATTGAAAAATGAAGATCAGGTGTGCGAATCTGTGTGTGTGTTCTTTCCTAACTAATCAGGGACATGCAGAGAGAACTTAGCACCTGTGCCCCCTATAACACACACACACACACACACACACACACACATACACACTTTGCTAAGCACAGGTGGAAGTACACTGAGTCAGCTCTGCATTTCATACAAGAGCCAGACACGATCCTATAAAACTCCTTCCATTCTTCCTTGTCACATATTTAAGAAAGCCATAACCGTGTTTATGGACGACTGTTTTGTGTGTGTGTGTGTGTGTGTGTGTGTGGAGGCAGGTCACAGGCCTTGCGAGCGCTGCCTTATGGGACAGGAACATCTTGATTTCATTACAGAGAGGTGGAACCCCAATCATCTGTTCAGTCAATCAGCGTGTGCAGGAGAGAGGATGGAGCGCTGAGAGGCTGAGAGAAGATACGATTAGAAACACTGATCCTCAGAGAAATACTGAGAGTGAGACAGCTACTACTGAGAGTGAGACAGCTACTACTGGAGTGAGACATCTAAACACTGAGAGTGAGAGAGCTAATACTGAGAGTTAGACAGCTAATACTGGAGTGAGAAAGCTAATACTGAGAGTGAGACAGCTACTACTGAGAGTGAGACAGCTAAACACTGAAAGTGAGACAGCTAAACACTGTGAGTGAGACAGCTAATACTGGAGTGAGACAGCTAATACTGAGAGTGAGACAGCTAATACTGAGAGTGAGACAGCTAAACACTGAAAGTGAGACAGCTAAACACTGAAAGTGAGACAGCTAATACTGGAGTGAGACACCTAATACTGAGAGTGAGACAGTTACTACTGAGAGTGAGACAGCTACTACTGGAGTGAGACAGCTAAACACTGAGAGTGAGAGAGCTAATACTGAGAGTTAGACAGCTAATACTGGAGTGAGACAGCTACTACTGAGAGTGAGACAGCTAAACACTGAGAGTGAGACAGCTAAACACTGTGAGTGAGACAGCTAATACTGAGAGTGAGACAGCTAATACTGAGAGTGAGACAGCTAAACACTGTGAGTGAGACAGCTAAACACTGTGAGTGAGACAGCTAAACACTGAGAGTGAGACAGCTAAACACTGATTGTGAGACAGCTAAACACTGAGAGTGAGACAGCTAAACACTGATTGTGAGACAGCTAAACACTGAGAGTGAGACAGCTAATACTGGAGTGAGACACCTAATACTGAGAGTGAGACAGCTAATACTGAGAGTGAGACAGCTAAACAATGAGAATGAGACAGCTAAACACTGATTGTGAGACAGCTAAACACTGAGAGTGAGACAGCTAATACTGGAGTGAGACAGCTAAACACTGAGAGTGAGACAGCTAAACACTGAGAGTGAGACAGCTAATACTGAGAGTGAGACAGCTAATACTGGAGCGAGACAGCTAATACTGAGAGTGAGACGGCTAAATACTGAGAGTGAGACAGCTAAACACTGACCTGGTTGCATCATGGGTATGATCTTTCTAGAAGAAATTTTTCTCTCTATTGCAGTCTTTCTGTCTGTCTCTCTCTGTCAATGTCTCTTTATCTCTTTATGTCTCTGTCTCTCCCACTGTCTCTATCTCTCTCTTCTTCTATCCCTCCGTCAGTGTCTGTCTCTGTTCTCACTCTGTTTTTCCTCTCACTCTGTCTCTATGTTTGTCTTTCAAATTGTCTCTAGCTCTCTGATTTTCTCTCTCTTTCTCTCTATTTGTTTATCTCTTTCTGTCAGGGTCTCTCTGCCTCTGATCTCCCTCTCTCTTTGACTCTCTCTCTCTTTCTCTCTCCTCCTTTCTCTCTATCAATGTCTGTCCTTCTCTTTCTGTCTCTCTATCAGTATCTCTCTGTCTCCCTCTCTGTCCATTTCTTCCTGTCTCTCTGTCCATGTCTTTCTGTCTCTCTGGCCATCTTTCCTGGTCTATCTCTCTCGCTCTCTCTCACTCTCTCTCTCACTCTCTCTCTCTCTCTCTCACTCTCTCTCTCTCAGTCTATCTCTCTGTCAGTGTATCATTTTCTCTCTCCCCCTTTCACTCTGTCTCCCTCACCCTCTCTCTCCATCTCTCTGTCTCTCTCTCTCTCTCTCTCTCTCTCTCTCTCTCTCTCTCCCTCACACACACACCCACACACACACACACCTTCCTGCTGTCACTCACAATCTGCTGAACCTGATCTCTGGCCATTTCCCACAGACCTCTCGCTCACACACACTTTTTCCCACACAGACAAAGTTACACACTTATATAATGTAAAAGGAGCACATGGAGCTCTGAGATACTGTTGTCTCATTTTTTAATTGATACATCACAAACATCACAATTTATTAGTATTAATACTACTGTACTTAAACATCTCATATTAGTTTAGTATAAGCTGACCAAAATATTTACCTGAAAGAAACCCAACAGTATTTCCAGCCTGTGAACGCTGCAGAAAAAATGTATTTAAAAAAATAAATAAATAAAAAATTATACTCTAAAAACGTAATAAACTCCAAAACAAACAAGCATTGCAAAAAGCAGAATTTAATAAGACATACTACTAGTTTCCAGGTTGTCATGGTTACTATTTTATCAAAGTTGTAAGTCTAATTTTTAAACCTAATCCACTAGAACTAAAAAAAAGGAACAAATAATCATAGAACTTCTAGCTTTAATATTAATTCATTAGGATACTAATTAGGAAGAAAGTTCAGGAATAAAATAGCTGTAATACATTGATGTGATTACACCTCAGTCAAAAAAAAAAACACGTCACATCAAACAAATAATTAAGTCAGGGTGTTTTTTTTATTTATTTATTTATTTTTAGCATATTAGAGGTGTAACACAGTCTCTCTATCTGTATCTGTTTAGTGCTTCAAATATCCTTAACCGCATTCAGGCATCAACTGAAAGTGGGTGTGGCCTAATCAGGACTTTTATTTGTTATTGTTGTTTGCATTTTTTTCCACTCACAACACCAAATAAAAGAATTTGCAGAACATAATTTTATTCAACTTCATTTAACTCCTGAGCTTGTACAGTTCCTCAGCCTCAGCTACATCACTCGAGTTCATAACAATCGAATGCGACTGAGTAAGCTAGGGAACTACAATATGTTTCAAAACAACGAAGTCTTTCTCAAATCAAGCTGTTGTTTATAGTCAACAACAATATCCTGGAGCCCATCCCAGGGGACTTGGGGAACAAGGTGAGGGACACCCTGGACACGAGGTGCACAATCACACACCTATTCACACACTACAGACAATTTGGAAATGCTAACCAGCCTACAACTCATGTCTTTAGACTGGGGGAGGAAACTGGAGTACACCCCTAAAGCACAGGGAGAACATGCAAACTCCTCACACAGATCAGAGGCGGGAATCGAACCCCAACCCCAGAGGTGCGAGACAACCACACTAACCACCAAGCCACCCCTGATGAAGAACATGCACAATTTAATATTTTTAAACAAAAACATTTTTGGAGACTGTGCATGGAGCAACATCTCCATAACTAAAGCGTATTTCTTTTGTCAGTTTCTGGCCAGGATTTATAGAAATATTGTAGCTTGTATTTTGGAAACTAATAGTGTGCCTTCTTTTCATATCTGTATCTGTTCAGAAACCATTATTTTTATGATGAATAATCATATTCGGTTATATCTCTAATAAAAATAGACATACTGTATAATTACACGCACAAACATCAAGAAACTTTTGATAGCCAAGTGAGAAAGCAGCTAATGAAAACATGCCAAAACACGTTAATACGCGCAGCTAAAAGATTCGATCTGGATTAGAGGAAAGTCTAGTTCTTATTATAATCATCCTTATCATTATCATTATAACTAGTATAATTACAGTCTTTGTGATTATATACAGTTAGTGGCTATAATGATTGGTCACGATGTCTACACACACACACACACACACACATTTCGCTTGTTTCCCACACTGTCCCCAAGCCCTATCCTGATGTTATTGTGTGATTAACGCTGCAGTGACTCAGCCCTAATCTGTCCAAACACACGTGTAGTTCCCAAACACACACACACACACACACACACACACACACGTCCCCGGTGAGCAGCGTCACGGCAACACCTGACTCCTGTGCTGCTGTGTTGTTTTTAATGGACGCCGTGTGTCCCAGCGGTAGGGGGGCTGTTCAGACAGCAAGGGACGCACTGATACAAACCTCACTTCCTGTTTTCTTTCACACTCTTATCACAGATTTTCACAGCCTCCCCTCTCTCTGCAGGGCGAACAAAAAAAATAAATGTGGCTTTTTTGTATTCAACTTGTGGAAGTCACATGCCATTAAATCAAAAAGAAAAAAAAATCACGTGCAACTTATTTGCACTGAATATAAATGTTTCGTCACAGACACATGAGATACGTCAACATATCAAGCTTTCTCTATATGGCTTTGTAGGTGTAACGTAATTTAGCCACGCCCACATTTCCACTACGCTATTTGGAAAGAACTCAATATATATTAAATACCATTAACTCATTTTTTAAACATTTTGAGCTTGTTCATGTGTAATTTAGTACTTTCCACGACTTAGGGTTAGACTTCGTTGAAACGTATGAAATACATTATTTTTTTCTTAAATTTTAGCCTCATATTTATCTGTACTATTTTCCAGAGTTCATCGCAGACATTTTACACGAAGACACTTTAATATAACAAATAGTACTAATAATTACAAACTTTTTAACATTTTTTTTTTCTAACCGTAAGCCTTATGACACCTAATGCAATACTGAGAATCCTTGTCACCTCCACGGCCAATCAGAAATGTGGAGAAACAACCAACCATCATCACAGTTTTTGTGAATTAGTGTATTTGCGTAAGCGTTGTTCGAAAGTAGCAAAGTTGTGTAGCTTAGCCAAGTTTTTAGGCAGAGTCTCTGCAGCTGATGAATTATTGTGCTCTACATAGCGCTACTACAACACGCAAAATACTGTATATAACAAACTACACTAGCAAACTACACTAGCTATAAAAAAGTGTGTGTGTATGTGTGTGTGTGTACATACATACATTATATATATATATATATATATATATATATATATATATATATTATACACACATATATATACACACACATTTTTTTCATTTTTGTTGCATATATATATATGTATGTATGTATGCAAAGATGTGTGTGTAAGTGTGTGTGTGTGTGTGTGTGTGTCTATAGTCATACTATGACGTCTAAGGATGATTTTGCATTTGTTATTGCAAAATTGCAAATAGGTGTCACAAAAGTGTTTTTTCTTTCTTTCTATTTTTCTACATAATCTCCACGTTCCAGTGCTTAACAAGTGTCTGGATTCCTCTAGGAAATAAATTCAGATTCAATTCTAATTTATGTCACAATTTCAACGTTTTCATTTGACTCACATTCGCATTTATAAAGTGCTACATATAAGTTGTATGAGAACATTTTTTCCTATGAGACTGAGTTGGATAAAATCGCATTGCAGTATCATAACTCTGAAATAATTACAGCTCTGAGGCTGATAAGATGGAGTCTGTGCTCGACACTGGGGTTCTGCTTTAGCATACTGTATGCTGTATATGCAAACAGCCATATTGTAAAACGAGCGACGAGAAACGGCATGACTCCCATAATGCTGTTTGTTCAGAGTCATTTCAGAAAGTATTCCCTTAAGCTCAT